AGAGTGGTACTCTTAGAGTACGTCTATTCTTACTGGGAGTCCGTCGGCTCTTTTCTCGAGCGACTGATTGCAAGACTCGCTCCAGATATCGTAAGGATAGGTCGACTCTCGGTCGATTCCATGGTCTCTTATGTAGTCATAGGCGAAGCGGGGTAATCCTCCTTGGCAACCACTAAGATGAGAAGTACAAGTGAACCGTAGGTGGCCCAGCGGTCTCAGTACACTTACTGATTCCCATATGACCGGCTGCAATCCACGAGCTGTTGTTCGGAAAAGGACAACAGTTCACCAGTAGCGATAGCATGCTTCGCTTCGAGAGCACCTGAATAACACAACAGCTAGGGGTTCTTGAGCTGGTCCGGTTGAATGCTACCGGTCACACAAAATGCCCAACAGCTGCCACAACCTCCTTGATTCTTGACCGGAGTGAGTACATTCTTGTCTCTCCAATCAACCGAGGATGGGAGAGTAGAGTCAGTTCCAGCTAGCACGTGGGGCTTTCATTTGACACCAAGGAAATCATGCCTCACACTCATCGACAAATCCATCTCTCTCCGTCTCCCCATGCGTTTCGATTGAACCGAGCCTAACAGCAGCAAACTCCTCGAAAGTGAGATCCGCGAACTCGTTGACTGCCAATTTGTACGACAAATCTGAACCAGTTCTGCACGAGTCTCGTGGCGAACAGCAGAAACCACGCACTCTGGGCGTTGACCCTCTGGATGTAATCCAGGTTGTCCTGGAAAATTGCGGCCCTCTTGCTCTCCTCTTCCTCACTCTCGTAGCTCTTGCCATACCTTGGAAGAATATCAGTGTATCGCAGTACATCGTAGGTTATGTCCCACTTTTTTTGGAAACCAAGGAAAGCTAAGCCGGCAGTGTCGACATCCAGAGACTCGTACAAAGGCAAAAACGCGAGTAGAACCGTCAGGATGGAAGACATTATGAACGAGTCAGAACTTCTGATTCAGAAGTTCTAGCATTGCTAATGCAAGGCAAGCAAGAACATCAA